GTTAATGAAAACTATGAGATTAGGTTATGGAATTATTGATTGATGTGCTGCCACGCATGTGAATAAATTAAGTGTATTGAGTTATATGGTTGATAGGAAGTGTATGAGTAAAGAAAGTGTGCTATAGTGGCATGTCAGAAGAGGTAACGGATAATCGACGAGTGGAATTAGCTATTGTAAGGTGAGTAGAGGGTCTCACTACTATAAGGTGAGTAGAGGGTGCCTATTTTAGAAATCTCCATGCTATATATATAATGATTTACGTTACTAAATATTGATGATTGTCTTAAGTGCAATTGTGGATACCATGAGCTGTTAGCCTTGTTAGGCAATTTTCAATGAATTTACAACGATTTATATTGCTATTGTGGAAAGCATGAGCTGGTAGAAACTATAGAAAGTTTATGGGTGCAAATTGTTTGAAAGAAGTTTTGGACATAACTATATATAAGCAATATATGTAAAGAGTTTTCAAAACCGGGAAACAAGCCTTTCACAATGTTTGTATCAAAATCTGTGTCTTGTGGTTTTTTGTAATATGCATAACTAAAAGCATTTCTTAAACGATTTAAAATGCAAAATTTTGAGCTTTGATTTTATTCCAATTTTCGTACAAATGATTACACCATGCCATTTAACTTGAAAAGTAATTTCAAAGAGGTTATCAAACCTTGATTTGAAAGGATTAAAAGGAAAAGCCTTGTAAAACCTGATTTGGTTTTAAAAATGGTTTTGATAAACTGAGAGCGTCGAGAGTAGGTCAGCCATCACTTCGATTAAGTGTGACTCTTGTGCACAAGTAAGCTCTAGCTAGAGAACTTTGGGTCACCGACGAGCTGTTAGACGTGGTTGGGGCCATAGTCTGTGATTTACATGGCAAGGCCACGGGTTGTTATATATGGCTAGGCCACTAGTGATATTCGCAGTTGCGATCACTTGATTCTCCGATGTCGACCAACATCATTGAGACTGCCATGGCTATGGGGATCCGGTAGAGCAGAGCTCCCCGATGTTATTATGTGGAAGTGGGTCCATGAGTGATTATGATACTTACCTACTCGAGAGCCTTGTGAGTATTCGACACATACTCTTTTGCATGGTGGAGAGTTAAGATTTCTTTGCAGCTCCCTTTGTTTGAATAAAAGCTTTTAGTGTTTGCTTGATGACCATGAAATGGTTTATGTGGTCGTATACTTTGGTTTCTTTACATGCCACTCATTTTGGGAGCGTGTATACTTTCATACAGTTGTTTATAGCTAATGGCAAGAGATGTTTTCAATGAATAAACTTTGTTTGCTATACTTGTTTTTGGCATTGTCTTGCCAAGTGAAATGTTGCATTATGATTTTACGAAATATTTTTACAAGGCACAAATATATTTCTTATGATTTGGTTTCTTAAGACTATGATTTGATATTCTAGTTTTATTATTCAACTTATCTACCTTATGCTTATTTCCCATCTATGCCCTACTCACGGAGCCGATGATCACTAAGTTTGTGAGACTCACCCTCTCTTATTTTTCTTTTGCAGATAGCGGTCAGCCTAGTGTGCATTCATCGACAATTTCAATCCTTTGTGGATAGGTAAAGGTATCTTATAGTACGTTATTCTGAGTCACTCCACTGTTAGAGGTCAAGTTGTCATAGTGTAAATTGTTATGAAATTAGACAATTGTATCAATACAAATGTATATTTGGAGATTATAAGTCATGATATATTATTTTACAATTATGTGGAATAAAGGTTTATTAGATTTATAAAGATTATTGTTTAATTCTTATTACAAAGAGTTTTATGGTCTAAGGAAATTTTTTTAGATTGATGGTATGAATATGAGGTAATGACTAACGCTTTAAGTAAGGCTGGTTCGAGACTTGACAGGTTCTCCCGCAATACTCGGACGCCAGTAGCGATCGAGGAGCGGTCGTTACAAGTTACAAACACGGCAAGAAACTAGAGTTTATGAATGACACCAATGAGCAAGTTTAAGGTTATACAAGTAAGTTTTATTCCTAAATGCATTCGTGGATTTGCATAAGTAAATGTGAATGTTTTTAAGAAATTAAGCATGGTTTATAAAGTTTCTAAAGTTGTTGCTTATTCCCCTCTATATCCCTCATTAAGTAATTGTACTCACGTTTTCGAATCTCATGTTTTGTAAATCTGATGCTTCCCAAGATATAGACATGTGAAGGATTTGCATACGTATTATGGTAGGCTCAATGACCAAGGAATTCGGTAATATCTTTTGCACCTTAAAGTCACTCCACCGGTAGCTGGTCGTTTAGTTATGTTATGTAACAAACCATGTGGCCTTGTATGTACAAATTAATGTGGGTTATGGGACATTAGTGAATTATCCAATATACATTAATGTAGCCATGTGTTGGTAAATGATAGATAAGTTAACAAAATGCTAATTTTAAGTAACGAAAATGTGTTTGGCACAATGTAGAGCTTTGTCCATATGTTTAAAAAAATGTTATGTATGTCAATTATGCCTTATGAATCAGTGTTAAAGGTTCCCATTATGGACTAAGTAATCAAGAAAGATAGTGAATCATATGTGGGCCTGGTGGATTACCTCTATTGCATCCTTATGCTAGTCATGGCCCGAGACAGGGTCATGACAGCAACCTTCACTCAACTTTGTAACAATAAATATAGTCTTAAAACACAAGAGATTTCTTTATAACTATATATTTTAGAATATAAGATTTCTTTTTTTGTAAAATGGTATCAAAGCCATCCTGGACGCCGACAATCATCTTTCATGCATCAATAGCTTCTGTTTCATGTGTTAATTGTCCATGTATTGACGTTTTCTACCATGTGAGCTTTTCTACAATGTATTTTGCCACATTTGTATTTTGTATCTGTATTTTGTATCATGTAGTATCTTCCGCACCTTAAAGTCACTCTACATATTATATCACGTATTTTGACAAGTATTCTACTATATTTTCTATCATGTATTTTACTATTTGTTTTATCACATTGATCTGCACTTTCATAAGGTCATTCTTTCTCTTAATTTTCACTTCTTGGTTTCTCTTTCAGTCTTTATTTTTGTTAATTTTAATTGTGAGATGGAGAAATATAAAATTGTTAGGTCAACTGCAATTGTTTTGATAACAAGTAACCACAATCTATGGGTCCAGGGTATAAAATGTTTTCTAATTGGATGCAAACATTGCTATATTGTCACTAGAAAACATCTTTCAACCATTAGTCGGTTTCAAGACTTAGTTTCTAAATTCAAATTGGCATTTACATACCACCTTGTATTTACGGCGATGTTAAAATAAGTGTACAAATTCAATGAAATAGTTAGAATACAATATTATTTTTTGACTAGTTAACTAGTTAGATTACAATACTATTAATTTGTTGGAGTTAAACTATGAATATTATTAGCCATGTGTTTATGTGTGTGTGTAATATATATATATATATATATATATATATATTTAGCTTTAAAATGAATATAGTTTTGAAATGATAAAAATGATCAAAATTGCTTGAACTTATTTAAGTGATCCTTGGATATTTCTTGAAGTTATTGAACTCCCATACACATGTTTTTCAAATGCTTGCAAGCTTAATTAATTTAGTTGTATGAGTGTTTAACTTACTTGAATAAGTTGTATGACCTCCCTAACGTTTACTTTTGAGATGCTAAAGCGTTTGGTTTCCAAGATAAGTTCATAAAGCAAGGAGTTTACCTTAAAATATTCAAGTAGGATCAATCTTCACAACACCAAGCTTGATTCAATGTTGAGATAGAATGTCCAATTACAAGTTAATTCAAGGTTGTGTTCATTTTGACCATATATGTTAGTTACAAGCTAATTCAACATGTCTAATTATTTGTTTGTTAGTAGTAAAATTTCCACCATTTAATATATATTAAAAAGGATAATATTTTGGGTGGTTGATGTTGGATTAATTTGAAATTTTTATTTTCATGATAGATAAGTTATTAAATCCATCTGTTAATTTGTTAAAATCTTAGTTATACCAAATTTATAAAAGAATCTAACAATTAGTAATTGTTACAGTAGTATAATTATATATATATATATAAGAAAATTCTAACAATAAAAAAAGAAAAGTGGAATTGTTATTTGCAATCAAAAGTTGGTAAGAAAAAGGAAATAATTATAATACTGTGGCAAGGATACAAAAGTCTCAAGTTGTCTTCGTCAAAGCAGACAGATTAAGATACAAGGAAACTTACACTTAACAAGGTTAGCTATTGGATGATGGCGGACCACTACGAGTGCTTAGGGAAGAAGCAATTCCTCCTATCATGTAGTCTTCTCCCTCTAGTTGCCAAGCCAATTCTTATTATTTGTTAAAGTTCTCAGCCAAAAGCTGTTTCAAGCAATACTAATAATACACATATGTCTTCCTTTTCTCCAATAAGAGGAGGCGGCTGATTCCGTCCATCACTGGTGGAAGACTTTTGCCTGCAAGTTTCTCAACAAGGTAAGTATCTTCAGCCATTGGTATCGACATGCAAGGAAAAAAAGATCACTTTATTTTATATTATTATGAAGATAATCGTGATTTCCTTCTGCCTTGGGCACATATATAATCTTTATTCCCCGCTATACATGTCTTTTAGAAAAGCAAAAGATTTGGTTCACACCTCCATTGCTTCTTGAGTGGGTTTGAGATATGCTGTTTTTCGCTTGGAAATGTCCGTTGTTTCTCTTTTTGCTTGATTATTAGTTTTTTTTTTTTTACTTTGAATGAGGATTCAGGTAGGTGATTAGATTTGGATTTAATGTGTCATTATTAAAGTTTAAAGGGCAAGCAAATAAAACTTTAATGCTAATACAAATCCTTGAGTTGGAGTAACAAGCACTGCAACTAGGGGGGGACAGAATCGATATATGTCAAGTATTGACTTTGTTAGTGGACCGACTTAAGCTCCATTCCGTGTGGACTCGAGCTACCTTTCTTTCTTTCTTTTCTTTAGTTTTCTTCGGAGTTGAATGGTAGTCGGTTAATGCTGGCCTGGCAAAGCTAGATTTCGCGTGCGGGAGGTTGGAGAAACTTCGTTTGGTGGTTACCGACGTCGAATCCAACCTTGTCAAGAGTCATAAAATCTTGTAGGGGCCGAAGACAGCCTCGATGTGATAGCTTAAATCTGACTATGGTATTGTCGGCAGATGCATCTCGATCATTATCTAAATTAGAAGCAACAAGAAAATGTGAAAAAAAAAATCAAAATTTAAGTAGAATATTGGAGCTTTCGTCGATCATTTCCCTTCTTTCTGAAAATTGATTTATTTCGCGGAATGATTGTTGTTTTGGAATGACCGTTCTTGGAAAAAGTCTAAATAGTTACTATCAAAGGCGGATTCAGTAATAGCTGTTTCTAAGTATGGAGGAATAGATAAAAAATATTTATTAGATAAAATTATCCTTAAACAAATTTAAAAATTATCATCCTATACAATATAGAATTTCTTCATTTTTCACATATTTTCTCTCTCTACCCATTTTCTGTCTCTCTCTCTTTCTCTTTCTAAATTCTCCCCATCACCAAATGACAGCGAAGGGCAACTGACAGTGACAGTAACACTAGTGCCAGATCGGACAACAGAGAGTGATAGATGCGACGCTCCATTCCACCAGTTGTATCTCCAGTGGTTGGTCGGTTGAGAAGAAAGAAAAGAAAATAAATGAAAATTTTTAGGTGGAAAATTTTTTTCAAAAAAGGACAAAAACTAATAACTAATATTTTAAAATCTGAAATTAAATTAAAACTTTATTTATAAATTATAAAAAATTAATATTTAAAATTTAAATTTTTAATTATAAAAATTAATATTTTAATATTTTTAAAATAAAATAAAAAATATAAGATATTATATTTGATGTATTGATGTTAAATAGTTTCTATACACCGTCAGTCATCAGATAGTGTCACTCCATCCAAAAACAAATATAATTTTTGAAGACATAAAAATAAATATTTTTAATTTTCTTTAAAAAATAAAAATACATTTTTTAAACTAACAAAAAATTAATTTTTTAATCTCTGTCCAACTCTCTCTCACCCAATCTCATCTTCTTCTCTCCTTTTCTGTCCATTATCAATAACATAAACCTAAATCTAGTGACTGTTGCTATAATTAAACTCAAATTCTATCAAAACTTGAATGAAAAGCTAATGTTTATAATCGTTCATAATCAACCTAGTAAAATTTAATTGGTAACTCTTAATTTTCACATTAGAATAGATTTTGTAAAACAAAGCAAATACAAAATGTATTGAAGCATTGAGACCTAATATTGTTATTTAATCAAAAGATAAAAGAGTCATCAGAAAATCAACAAGAAAAACTGATCCAAAATTAAAAATAAGAGTTAATGTAAAACTAATTAAAATTCATTTTCAAAGATGAAACCTAAAGAACTAAAGTTGAACTGAAGTCTTTGTCCTGCAAATACTACATCTAAATTATCCACTGTCTAGTAAAGACACCAAAAGAACCGAAGTCAAAGTAAGCTTAACCATTTAATAGTTGTTAATTTTTCATAATTTTCCTTTCATTGAAAATGAACCATTAGTTTTTCTTGTTGATTTTTCTAATGACTCTTTTATCTTTCTGTTAGATAATAGTATCAGGTCTCAATGTAGCAGTTTCACAACATTTTGTATCACTTTTCCTTTACAAAATCTATTCCAATGTGAAAATTAAGAGTAACCAATTGAAATTTATGAATTAATTATGAACGATCACAACATCGACTTTTTCTTTTAAGTTTTGATAGAGTTTGAGTTTAATTATAGCAACAATCACTATATTTAAGTTTTTATTGTTGACAATGGACAAAAAATGAAAGAAGAAGAAGATGAGATCGAGTGTGAGAGAGTTAAAAAGAGATAAAAAAATATTTTTATCTTTTTAGAGAAAATTGATAATATTTATATTTAAGTCCCTCAAAGAATTATATTTATTTTTTATTGAAGAGGCGTTATCTCATGGCTTGACAATGTACAGTGCATCAAATATAATCTCTAATTATAAATAATAAATATTTTAAACAAACTATAAATTATTAATATTTAAAAAATAAACTAAAATAAATAATCATATTTAATTTTAAATAAAAATTATTAATATTTTTAATAAATTATAAAAATAAATATTTTAAATTAAAATTTTATATATTATAATAAAAGGTATTTTTGACTTTTTATCACCTATTCATTTACTATTCCAAAGTTATTTTTGCCTATCAAATATTAGAATAAATCATAATAAAAAATTTTATACTATTTCATTCCGTGAACTGAACTACTTAATAATCATTTCTACCTTTTTCTATTCTCACAGAATAACTATTTTATTATTCATCTATTCAATTTCATGAACCAAATATCCTATTAAGGAAAAAAGTGGATTCGCCATAAAACAGAATTATAGTTAAAAGATTGCAAAATTCATTATATTTAAAATTTATTGAAAATATATCAATATGTGTTGGTCTCAAATAAATGTGCTAAAAGGGGGAGTGAATGGCACTTTTGGCTCTCACTAAACTTGATTTCTAATTGGGAGCAAGTAGAAGTCTATGATAAGAAGTTCGATGCAAGATGAAGGAATGATTTAACAAAAAATGAAAATGAAAGACAAAACAAAGCAGACAATACACAAAGATTTATAGTGGTTCGATCAAA